CTATATACATGCAGGAACACCTTCCACCTATATACATGTAGGAACACCTTCCACCTATATACATGTAGGAACAACTTCCACCTATATACATGTAGGAACACCTTCCACCTATATACATGCAGGAACACCTTCCACCTATATACATGCAGGAACACCTTCCACCTATATACATGCAGGAACACCTTCCACCTATATACATGCAGGAACACCTTCCACCTATATACATGCAGGAACACCTTCCACCTATATACATGCAGGAACACCTTCCACCTATATACATGTAGGAACACCTTCCACCTATATACATGTAGGAACACCTTCCACCTATATACATGCAGGAACACCTTCCACCTATATACATGCAGGAACACCTTCCACCTATATACATGTAGGAACACCTTCCACCTATATACATGTAGGAACACCTTCCACCTATATACATGTAGGAACACCTTCCACCTATATACATGTAGGAACACCTTCCACCTATATACATGCAGGAACACCTTCCACCTATATACATGTAGGAACACCTTCCACCTATATACATGTAGGAACACCTTCCACCTATATACATGTAGGAACAACTTCCACCTATATACATGCAGGAACACCTTCCACCTATATACATGTAGGAACCTCCTAAACCAACAAATATAAACAAATACACAAACGATAAATAGATATGAGAAGGAAGTGAAGATTATGACAGGATATTTTTTTCATATGTCGCCCTCGCAATCAAACCTGCCATGCTATATAGAAATTGTAGATATATATGGAAATTTATGCATCATTATCTGTGGGAAAAATACTGTATCCACCAGGAACTTTTTGTGTGTATTTTCCATTAGCCATTTCCTGAATTTCAAATACAGCCATAAAACACCCAACTATAACTAGCTCCTACTGTAAACAGTTAATATACACAAGGAGATAATTCATAATTTATTATAAACTTATTAGAAATCGCCTCTAACAAATTTACTATTTTACCAGACTTCAGTGTTCTGAAGGTTTTCGATCAGTCCTCGCAACGATATGTCAATTCAAACATATTATGATACGAACCAGGATATCCAGAAGCAGCATCCATTAGATTTTAACAAGATATTCGCCATGTTTCTTAGAAAAAAAAGCTGAAATTATAATTGATTAAAACATATCGCTAATACAAGAATAAGATGTGCACCTTTTTTTGAACAAGTACTCCATGTTTTTTATAAGAAAAAAATGAAACTGAAATTCATTCAAATATATTGCCAACACAAACCCATTTGGAATAGCTCTAATGCTTATTTTCTAATGAATGCATATCAATTACTCCATCTACATCACAATTGAAAATTGAAATATTTTCACTTTTGCTCTGCTTGTTCAAATTAAATATTGAAAATCAGAATCAGGAGTACCCTATTTTCTCGGATAGTTATTGATAAGATAACTCTCCATTATGTTCCATTATGCAACAATCTGTATATTTATTGGTAATGGTTTTAAATTGACAGTCAAACCAGTTAAAGTAAATAACAAATACAGTGTAAGTACGCGTGTAACTCTTAACTAGAAATAAAAAACTTTTTATCAAGTTGGTTGCAGAATGGCCAATCGTTTCCTTGTGTTGTGATTCTATTCTAAGAAAAACATCAAGAAAATACCAACATGGCATCAGAAGCATAATGCAAACTCAAATTCCATAACACTAAGGAAAACTATGAGCAAAAGACAGATTTACACGGAGACTAATGAAAAAGTACAATGAGAAAAAGACCATGTGTTCCGGAAGAGTAAGCGTCTTCTGCCTCATCGACGACACCCGCCATGGTCAATCCAACAACCAAACCAACAGGCAAACTAACGAGCATCAAATACGTCCAGTTTCATGTCACACAAGGATATAAATTATTTCTCAACGAGATCACTATGGCGACCACAAAACTCCCCATAATTTTCATCAACCTGCGTCTTTTTAACCCTTGTGTTACAAATTTGTCAGTCAGTTGACTACTTCTTGCACGAAAATCGTGATAATTGGAATAGGCCCTTGAATACCGAATCAAGTGTGGCATGTAAATACCATAGGTTGGAAATGCAGAAATGAAAAATTCACAATAGAGAAATCATCACGTTTATCATACATTTTGATGGAAAGCTGTCAATGTCGGCTTCGTTGTAAGAAATTGTAAGGAAAGATTGAGATAAGAAGCATATGTAGAGGAGTCTGTCGTGTCTTTGATTTCCAGTTCTGGTGGATATATACGATGGACGTAGTGAGTTCGTTATTTAAAGACTTATTCCAAATATCATGTCAACATGATCTCGTTGGACAAAAATATTTCTGGTTACGATGAGTAAGTTCAATTATTACTAGAATGCCTTTGATTTCGTTGTTTTAATTTGTTTCACGTTTCAAAAACGTGCCATTTATAATACTTGGATTAACTTAGATTTTCATGGCGAGTGACGCCTGTGAACCCGCACTTCTTCGTGTGTATCGGTGTAAATCTTTCATTTAATTTTCTATCTTTTGTCTCCGTTTAATCGTGGTGTTTGAAGAGAGCGCTGTTAAAACAGTACATTTATCAACAGAAAACAAAATTCAAACTCGTCGATGAAAATAAGTTTTATTAATAATTTGACAACAAATTAAACTGTAAATTTAACAAGTAAAAATTGTTATGAAAAATTCGAACATGATTAAAAAAGTAGACATATGGAATTCATTTAAGGTGACATTTAAAACCGAAATGTGTTTCTTTAAAGTTTATTTTAATAAGGAAGATGATTATTAATGGCAGGTAGGGTATCTTTAATTATTATAATGAAACATATATACAAACACCAATCTTAAATTTCATATCAGTTAGTTTTTGTCAGTAAAGACAAATGGACGGACAAGTATTTTCTATGGATGCTGAAAGTCCGATATATTTTGTTCAAATTTATTTAAATACTTAATTGCAATATTGGAAAAAAAATAACATTATCTCTCAAAGCAGGATATTTAAATGGAATGATATATAAAATTTGATATAATTTCACTATAAACATATATAACAAATGTACTATATAATACATAAATAAGTTATTAATCACAATTTGTTTCAGTTTTGAATTCATTGATTTAAATCAATAAAGAAAAGATACATCAAGAACTTCAGATTTACTTGTAACTTTTTGAATCGTTAGACAACAACATATGAACTAGAACCTAGATGTAAACATCCTATGTAATTTCCCAATAATCTCCAGAAATTCAAATGTGTGGCAGAAACGTTAATAAATTTTTACATGATTCTTCATTTCACAATGGACACAACACTTCATATAAATGACACGATGAAAAATACAATTGAATACTTGTGGAGAAAATATTTCAATTATGTTAAGAAAAACAAAACGTTGGTAATAATTATTAATGTAAATATCACAGAAACCTTTATCACATATTTGAATTGATGTATAATACATGTCAGCGATGTTTCTTTTGGATAAACAAAGAAAAAAAAAATTATAAAAAATGATTTTCATATCACCAACAAATAAACATTGTTGTATAGTGAGATCAACAAGATTTTTACAGTTTTCTTACTGGGAATCTAATTTATCAAGTCTTTATGTAACATTAATTTTCTTTTCATAGAAATTGAATTCATCATATATGTTAATGTTATTTTTACTCTCTTGATACAGAAATGGTAACGGTTTTTCAATACAAAGTTCACAGAGTCTTACCAATGTTTCAGATAATGAATAGGTATGGGGTCACCTGCCCGACCATTAAATTTTCCCCTGTACTCTGGTTTCCTCCCACAATTAGACCCCTTCCGTGCTTCCATCCAGGCCAATAACAGTGAGTAGTATAAGCTGGAAAAACTTGTTTCGCAATTGTTGTAAAATAAATAAAGTTTATCATTATAGATAATTGTGTTAACGTTTTACCTACATGCGTGCTATTTGGAGGAAAGGACTATTTGCTATTTCATTTTTAAACCACAAGGGAATTATTTTAATTCAAACTCAAACAGTTACCATGAGATTTTATTAGCAATAAGCATTGAAAGAACTTACATTTTCATCATAAGTTGACTCATTAGACAAGACTTCAATATTTTTTCTTACGTATGTTTTAAATCATGTGATATTTTAGTATGTCTGTTCCTTTTTTGAGTAAGAGAAATTCAAAACTGCATAAATAATCATCATAGAAACTTTATATATACAATCTGAATAACAACAATACATGTTCGCACAGCGAATTCAAATTGATCAACAATGATAATAAAAATGGTATATGTGCTACAGATTTTGTACTCACTGCTACAAGCAATTCGTCCAGCGAATAATGTTCATCGTCTACCTCTACAAAAAGCTAAACATGTGTCACTAGACCATTAATTCAAGATCCTTCCCAACTCAACAAAAATTCGAAGAACTATATGTAACTAATTTCAATGAAATTTCCATTAATTTAATGAAATTTCCAAGAAAACATTTGTTTGTCATACTACTTTATGAAATGCTATGACATTAAGTACCAGTGTGTCAAATCCCGAGGATTCATTCATTTACTACATTACACAGAAAACACCTGTGATTAGTACTTGCTTGAGAAATACGATCCCTAGAATGTTTGAATCAGATGATTTTCAAATTAGAGACAAATCCTTAGCATTACCTGAAAACACACTTTCAACTCTTTTGAATATGACATCAATTCCTTAACTTTAATTATATGTCATTGGTTCTTGTGTTTTTAGAAATTTGCAATTCATTCTTGTGTATATGTCATCAATTTTTGTGTTCCTTCTTAGTGTGATGTCATTCCCTGTCAATTAATTAATGTGTGCTGTGTACTGTACCTTACTTTGAGATGAGTCATCAGTAGTTGTGTAGTTTTATAATGTGCTGTCAATTGATTATAAAATTAAACCAAGTGTCATGTATCATAGAAGTTAACTTTGAAGGTCTCTTTTAAATCAACCTGAAGAAGAAATGCTGTTTTGAAAAGCAGGATCTGTTACATCACAAGATCAGTTGTTTGAGTTGTCTGTCTGGTCATCCAGAACTGCATGCTCTGTAATAAAAACAAAGATATTAATGATTGTGACCAATTACACTTGTGTGTGTGTGGGTGGGTGGGTGATGGTGTGTGAGGGTATGTAGATGTGGGTGTGTGGGGGTGAGGAGGGTGGAGAGGGGATCTTGGCACTCGGCATTGTTTGATCTTTACATGCTCTTTGAATGTCTTTGAAAGTTGTATCTTTTCCTTTCTTTTCTCTTCTCTGATTTTGTTTTCAATGATAAGATATTTGAACATTCCTTTGCAGAGATGATGATAATCTATCTTTACCTGCCATATACAAAATGGCCACCTGGAAGTCATTTTCTTTCTTCTGATCAGTCCCAAGATCAAATGCGCACAAGGAGAGACCAAAGGGGGAACATATCTGATAGATATCCATTTAAGAAATAGCAGTAACAACCTTCACTTTACAAAATTCAAGATGGCTGCCTGTCGGCCATATTGTTTTTCTGATCAGTCCCAAACTCAAACAGGCACAATTAGAGACCTAAAGGAACCTACACATGAAATTTGAGAAAGATCTATATGGTAGTTCTTAAGAAATAGTAATAACAAAATCAAAATCTATGATATTCATCTGTAGGCCATTTTGTTTTTCTGATCATTCCCAAAATCAATTTGGCGCAACTAAGGACCATTGGGAACCTACATGTGAAATTCAAGAAAGATCCATCACGCACTTTTCCAGAAATACCAATAACAATATTTCAAAGTCAAATATGAAATCTGAGAAAGATCTATACAGTAGTTCTCAAGTAATAGCCATAACAAACTTGCAAAGTCAAAATCCAACATGGCCATCTGTTGGCCATTTTGTTTTTCTGATCAGACCCAAAACTTAATGGACACAACTAGATACCAAGGGGAACTTACACATGAAATTTGAGAGAGATCCCTCGCTTCCTTTTCAAGAAATAGTGATAACAAACTTCATTGAAAAAATCCAAGATTGCTACCTGTCAACTATTTTGGTTTTTTTTTTATCAATCCCAAAATTAAAAGGGCACAACTAGGGACCAAGGGAAACTTACACATGCAATTTAAGAAAGGTCCATTCAGTACTTCTCAAGAAATAGCAATGACAAGAATTATTTGCAAACAGAAGGACAATGGAACGTGGACATGGGGCGATTTGAACAGACAACCATCTCATGATGGTTGGATAAAAAAGAGAAAATATCAGATATCAAAAAGAATCTCCTCATATGAGCAATGCAAAATATCACACATAGAACAAGAAAATGATGACATGATATCCAGCTGATAAGTACTTACCCACAGGTATGCCTGCAGTATATTGAAGTGTAGTTCTGTATAGCGTATTCTGAGAAGTCAGTGCAGTGATTGGTCAGGTTTGACCAAATTTCACAGGATCTGGTGGTGTGTCTATCATAGCAAGCTGCAAAATAGTATTTAACAAATAAATATCAAACAAAACTAGTTTAACTTATATAGAATCTTAACAGTATTGATAGATTGATGACTTCATACTCACAGTAAGAGTCGACAGTAAAGTGGGGGTTTAATTGACAAAACATACTCACAGTCAGGGTTGACAGTAAAGGGGGAGCTAAATTGATGAAATCATACTCACAGTTAGGGTTGACAGTAAAGTGGGGGCAAATTGATGAAATCATACTCAAAGTTAGGGTTGACAGTAAAGTGGGGGCTAAATTGACGAAATCATACTCACAGTTAGGGTTGACAGTAAAGTGGGGGCAAATTGATGAAATCATACTCAAAGTTAGGGTTGACAGTAAAGTGGGGGCAAATTGATGAAATCATACTCAAAGTTAGGGTTTACAGTAAAGTGGGGGCAAATTGATGAAATCATACTCACAGTTAGGGTTGACAGTAAAGTGGGGGCAAAATTGATGAAATCATACTCACAGTTAGAGTTGACAGTAAAGTGGGGGCTAAATTGACGAAATCATACTCACAGTTAGGGTTGACAGTAAAGTGGGGGCAAATTGATGAAATCATACTCAAAGTTAGGGTTGACAGTAAAGTGGGGGCAAATTGATGAAATCATACTCAAAGTTAGGGTTGACAGTAAAGGGGGAGCTAAATTGATGAAATCATACTCACAGTTAGGGTTGATAGTAAAGTGGGGGTTAAATTGATGAAATCAAACTCACAGTTACGGTTGACAGTAAAGTGGGGGAAAATTGATGAAATCATACTCAAAGTTAGGGTTGACAGTAAAGTGGGGGCAAATTGATGAAATCATACTCAAAGTTAGGGTTGACAGTAAAGTGGGAGCTAAATTGAAGAAATCATACTCAAAGTTAGGGTTGACAGTAAAGTGGGGGCTAAATTGAAGAAATCATACTCACAGTTAGAGTTGACAGTAAAGTGGGAGCTAAATTGATGAAATCATACTCACAGTTAGGGTTGACAGTAAAAGGGGAGCTAAATTGATGAAATCATACTCACAGTTAGGGTTGACAGTAAAGTGGGGGCAAATTGATGAAATCATACTCAAAGTTAGGGTTGACAGTAAAGGGGGAGCTAAATTGATGAAATCATACTCAAAGTTAGGGTTGACAGTAAAGGGGGAGCTAAATTGATAAAGTCATACTCACAGTTAGGGTTGACAGTAAAGTGGGGGCTAAATTCATGAAATCATACTCACTGTTAGGGTTGACAGTAAAGTGGGGGCAAATTGATGAAATCATACTCACAGTTAAAGTTGACAGTAAAGTGGGAGCTAAATTGATGAAATCATACTCACAGTTAGGGTTGACAGTAAAAGGGGAGCTAAATTGATGAAATCATACTCACAGTTAGGGTTGACAGTAAAGTGGGGGCAAATTGATGAAATCATACTCAAAGTTAGGGTTGACAGTAAAGGGGGAGCTAAATTGATGAAATCATACTCAAAGTTAGGGTTGACAGTAAAGGGGGAGCTAAATTGATAAAGTCATACTCACAGTTAGGGTTGACAGTAAAGTGGGGGCTAAATTCATGAAATCATACTCACTGTTAGGGTTGACAGTAAAGTGGGGGCAAATTGATGAAATCATACTCACAGTTAAAGTTGACAGTAAAGTGGGAGCTAAATTGATGAAATCATACTCACATATAGGGTTGACAGTAAAGGGGGAGCTAAATTGATGAAATCATACTCAAAGTTAGGGTTGACAGTAAAGTGGGGGCTAAATTGATGAAATCATACTCACAGTTAGGGTTGACAGTAAAGTGGGGGCAAATTGATGAAATCATACTCACAGTTAGAGTTGACAGTAAAGTGGGAGCTAAATTGATAAAGTCATACTCACAGTTAGGGTTGACAGTAAAGTGGGGGCAAATTGATGAAATCATACTCAAAGTTAGGGTTGACAGTAAATTGGGGGCTAAATTGATGAAATCATACTCACAGTTAGGGTTGACAGTAAAGTGGGGGCAAATTGATGAAATCATACTCACATATAGGGTTGACAGTAAAGTTGGGGCAAAATTGATGAAATCATACTCACATTTCAGGTTGACAGTAAAGAGGGGACTGGGGTGGGGTACAAGACTAATTGTGTTATTCATGTATATACTTACAGGTAGAGTGGAAAGTTGGAAGGAGACAAGACAAATGATGTCATACTGCCAGATAGGGTCAACTGTAGAAAGGGGACCAGATTGATGATTTCATACTCCTAGATAGGGTTGACATTAGAAAGGAAATCATATTTGTGACATCAAAGTCACAGGTAGGGTCCAACAGGCACCAACACTCAAAAAAACCTGAAAAGAATACTGTTATACGTACAGTTAGGGTCGACAGTAGTGGGCGCTGTCCCATTTCCACAGGATACTGTGGGACAACAGTTTGGAAAGATTGCACCAGTGTCCTGTACTATCCAACAGTTTCCATTGTCCAGGTCTGGGGTATCCGGATGGCAGCTTTATGGAATCAGTACAGAGTGGAGTGATATAATTGTAACACAGGTGCAGATTCAAAACAAACACAAAATAAAAATTAAAAAAAAAAAAAACCCTGCATCCATTTTCCATCATTTTGTTAAGTAATAATTGACAACAGAATATGATAAAATAGATTTATGAATCACTCATACTCAAAGTATAGGCCATATCATGTATGTAACTGAGCTCAAAGTTGTCTAAGATTATGTCAACTACTGTATGACATGATTTGGCATTTAAATCAGTTCTGCAAACATCAGAAATTATTCATGAATACCATTTGAGAAAAAATAAAACTCAGTAGTAAATTGTCTTTCTATTATTTACAGTACCTCTAGATTTTTCTTGTTTTTATGGACTATGTTTTCATTTTTAAACCTTTGATTTGGTCAGAAAAGGATGTTTTTTTTACCTAAGCGTTACAAAATAGTTTCCAGTTGTCTTTCTGTGACAGATTTTAGCATCACAAGCCCCAATTGATGATTTTGTTTCATCCAAATCTGCCATGAAATTTCCATTATAATCTTCACATTCTGAAAAAAATATTGTAAAAAAAATATCTGTATATATGTAAGTTAACAGAAATTGGACATTGAAATTTGAATAGAACCACCAGATGGATAATACTAATCCTGGAACCCCCACCCCACTCCTCCCCACTACACACATAATCCATACTTTGTCTTTGAAAAAATGGGGTGTTTAAAAAAATTGTAACAAATATTCTTGTTCTGAAACCCTTGGTACCGTACTATACATACAACTTTTAAAGACTATCTACATGTTGGTACAGAACAATAATGAAGTCAAACTTCCACAAAATCATGAATAGATATGTATTCAGAACGGGCACTGATCCCGTCTGCAAATATTACAGATGGATTTGATAGTTAGACTAGAACCTGTTGACGACTGACGAAGTGTCTTGTTTAGTTTCAGCTTCATAGTAACCCAACACGATTAGATGCTTCACCGTCTACTTTTCTAGCGTCCGTAGCAACTGAACTGGCAATCACTTACCTCCTGATAACACCGACTTTGACGCAATTTCAATAAATCCGAGTCCAAATTCAAAATTGTTCTGACAAACAACGAACATGAATATTGCAACGATGGTAACGTGCGCTTTTTGTGACAAATTTCTCAGCTTGATGTCACCCGCCATCTTTGTTGTGAAAAAGGCGGAAGTTGAAATGAAATCCTGGTTGTACACGTGTATGGTGTAAGGGAGACAACTCTTTCTAAAGTTTGTCAAAATATGCGGGTCCACTGTGACAGAGACATTTCTGACTGTGTTGACCGGTCACATGACTTCGGACTGTCCCACAACCACATGTACACTCATCTATACACACACATTTATGCCTACTTTCATGGAAGGAATTTGACGCGGTAACTCAATAGTGCATGTATTTGGAAACTTGTAAGTATGAACTGATTCAGCCTTCGCATGTGAAACAATTGATATGATAAGTATACATTGTATTTGATAAGATGAAGAGATATGGCTTCAATTACACGTTGTTTGTAAACATGTATAAGTAGTTGTAAACTTAGGAAATGTTGTGACCCGCCGTCGTCACACATGGGTACACACGTGTTACGGTTCTAGAGACAGCATGCATGCATGTTTTGTTGTCTTGTCAACATAAACATCCTGAAATAACATAAGATATGCAACTGGTCCAATTTATGAACTAAGATGTTGGTTTAGCCATAACCTGATATCTTTATGATCTCCATATCGATAGCAGTACTGTATTATACGTCCCTGTCGACAGTAATAGGCGAAAAGACTGGATTGTAAAATGCATAGTGTTAACTCAATGAAAAATATCTTTTATTGTAACGCTTACTTTTTTAGAAGCTAAACTGGCAACAATCTCAGACACGACGAGATATCTGTCAGAAAAAAGAAATTATTTTGAAAAAAGCACTAAAAAATCGAGGGATGATACATAAGAAGATCCATTCCAAGATTTCCCCCTACTTTTTCAAATAATATTTTTTTGGAAAAAAAAGGCATGTATTAGTTTTGTTGCCAGTTCACCTGCTGAAAAAAGTTTGATTAATACCATTTTTCATTGAGTTAGCCCCCTGTGTATTATAACAAACAAAACGTTTCGTCTGAATTGAGGCTAGCGTTTTCAGTTTTCGGTTGCCTAAGCGACCCAGGAACATACCTTGTGTATCCCGCGGCATGCATTAACTGGACACTGTAGATATGTATATATCGCTATCGTAAAACCACGACAGTGTGTAATACAAACTTGGGCTATAAACTACTGAAAGGTCACCGGTACACCTGTATATAAACACAGTATTATCTAGTTAATCATACATTACACGCACATAAAAGGTGAACGTTTCACGAACTTGTGTGACTGTAGACATGTAAGGTATTTAAATAGAATGCATGGTACCTTCGTTTAGTTTTAAACGTGTTTTACTTGTATCAAATATATACAGTGAGACTTGGCACAAGTTATCAAACTTAAGCCCTTTCACAAGAATATTTAGCAATATACATCAACACAGGATGGAGAGTTATATAACTTGTAGTAGTTATGTACATATAATGTATATACTATATATGGAGTGAGAGAGATCTCAGTACTGGTAATTAAACTTAAAAGAAATTCTCATTTCGTTTGGTCATGATATGCAAAATATTGGGTAACTGAATTGTAAATATGTAATTTAGCTATATGTATATATATATGTGTGTTATAACCGGACACAATAGTTAGATATAGTCATATTTGTGTCGTCCCAGTTCTAACCCATGATGGCGAGGACATTGTTACCATAGATATACCTTAGATGTTTTCCTGTGTGGACAAGAAAACTATATATATTGTTAGTCCCTTTTTGGGCAAGATGGCCGTTTATACAGTCCTGTGTGGGCAGTTCCTATTGTACGCGGTCCTGTGTGGACAGCTTTATTTGTCATAATCTGAAGGGGGCAACCATGTAATTTCAGATGTCTGTTCTGTTGATTGTCCTGAGTGTTGATGGAGGTGATGGATGTCCTTTGTGGGCAAGCAGGGACATAGATGACCCTGTTAGGGCAGCTGTATATTGTCTGTATGAGAGCAGATCATTTTATGGTGGATTATTGTGACTAGAACAGCTATCGTCACTGGGAAGGCTTTAGAACATCCATGGACGTGTCAGATGTTGTTTTGATCACATCTGATGAAAAACTTAGTTCACTATTTTCGATGACTAGGAAATTTACTTAAGTGAATGTAAATAATAATATAGTAAGAGTGTGCTTGGTTATGGAAGTGGTGTTTTGAGTGATGTGTATTTGGGAGATGTGTTTATATATATCGACGGCGTAGTCCAATATTGGTATTGGAACCTAACAAACAAATATTCGTTGAATGCGTATTATTGGAATAAATATATTATCAATAAAATAATGGCAACAGTACGGACAAGCGAATTGTCAAATTTTCGAGGCAACCTGCCTCTTTATCAAGACCCAAACACCACATAAATCACATAACATACAAAGAACATAAAACAAATAAAAAGTTATAAAACCAAATCGAGAGTGGTGGTGTGAATTTCGGTGTCTCGATAATCTTTTCGGCGTGTATGTCACACTCCGAGGATAGTAGCATTTCACATTTTCCCAATAAAGTTTCTTATTTTTAAGTAAACAATTCCTCGTGTAGAATGTGGCCGAGATGTACCGGTAGACTACGTTCTTTTTTTTATTTGCCAGCTTTGTACAAGAAGTTTAGTTTCGTATTTGCGCACAGTTTTCCATTCGTATGGAAACGAAAGATAAAGCTTTCCCTGGATCTATGAAGTTAGGATATTTGATAATACGGAAGTGAACTCATTGACGATTATTTTTCAGATATGATTTTTGTTTATATTTGTAGGTGAGATATTTACTCATTCGAAGAGATGAACTGTTCCAAGGAATTCCCGACAACTGACGTCCTCTATAGATGTATGTGCTATCCTAAGATAAAGTACAACGCAACAGATTTTCACCTTAAGACGTGTTTCACAAGTTCACATTTTATCTTGAAACAAGAAAAAAATGAAAAAAAAAAAACTACTAAGATGTTTGATCTCATTACCAATTTTGATTGCTTATCAGGAAATGCTTTGTTCAAGAAAATATCTTCACTATTTGAATATTGATAAATGAAACAGAATAGATGTTTGTAGTGTTAAAATGGAATTGTGAAGTAATATTGTGATTACGTGATTCTGCTGAATGTTTCTTCTTAGATAGAATTTTTTATGATAATTAATTAAATAATTAAGGAATTCCTGTGTTATTAATCCAATGTGATATCTTTTGTCCATGACACACTCTTAAAACTGTTACACACACTTCCACAATAATCATGTTGGATGTGAATAATAGCCTTTATCAATCACAAAATCAAAAAAAAAAAAAAAAAAAAAGACTACCGAATAAAGAGATGTAATGAAGTTTTTAAAATAATGAAAAAATAGTGAAGTTTTAACATTATCAAAAAGTTTCAACATAATGATTCGAAACAAATGTTAAGATATTTAAGCAGTAAAGTGATAGGTTGGCGAAAATAGTCATAGTTATTGGATGAGCAAATTCTTACGCTGATTGGCTAATAATTTCCTACTTGCGACGGTTGATTGATAATTTATGACTGTGATTGGTTGATAGCTACTTACTGTGATTGGTTGGTAATTTTGTATTTAGGGTGATTGTTTGGTAATAAATATCTGTGATTGGTTGATGTTTTGTTTTCCAGTACTTTCGTCCGATACAACTGTTCTTGTTCTGACAGCCATAGACATTGTCATCACTTGTATCACGATCGGTCTGTTTGCGGAGGAGTTATGGTTCCTGTTCCACCATTGTCACGAGGCTTCCAAGCGAACAAAGACTATCTTATTGTTAGCACTTTATCCAGTACGTAATTTATAATAATGTAATATATATATAACACATACTTTTATTGTTGTTTTGAAAGAGAAATTCAAGTCCTGGATTCAATGTCTTGGTGGGCTTTTGTGTGTGTGTGTGTGTGTTTTTGTTTTTTGTTTTTTTAGCGTTTATAACTCTTATCTCATATTCGTTAATACAATGCGCATGCATGTTCCTTACAAAAACATGAAAACATTTAATTCATGAAACTACTGTTTCTCATTAACTTAAGATTTAACAGTAGAAAGGCCTTAGATAGGAAAGATTAAGGTTACACAATGAGTGATTGAGATGTATGGTATTTCTTTTCAAAAGTTACTACAAAATACATCGAAAAGTACATAACAATATTTTAAATCATTATGAGTAATCACTAAATAATAAATTGGTGTGTGAAATTGAAATCCACATTAAAATGAGATTATTACAAAAAACAAAAACCATGAACTACTACTTATTTCCGTCAGTGCCAGTTTCTTCCTGTCATTCAATCAAAACTTAATGAAATGTTATTCCACGTGCAGTAAATCTTGTACGTTTATATAAAATTCGGAATGTTTGGACTGATTAATTTTTTTATTTATTTATTTCTCTTCCAGATTGTGTCGTTTGCCTCATTGTTATCTATTTTGGTTCCGACTTCGACTTTGATCGGCGAGTTTGTATCTAGTATGTAAGTATTATGCGCGATATACCTACATTGTAGTCTATGCTAGGCGTCTCCAACACTCGTATACTCATACAATAAAAAAATATCGACATGTCAACAGAATGTAAATTTAAGTTCCATTATTTCAAACACAAGTGTCAACCATAGAATAAAGAAATATTTTCATGGAAACCCGTGGAAAGGTACAAGGAGAACAATACCAGGTGTTCTCAAAGGGTAAGCTTGTCTGCTTTCTCGACGACACCATCCATACAGATTTTGGTCACTCCAGGTAAGAAATGTCATGTTCCGAGGGAACAAGGTTAGCTACATTGGAACCACCAGTCAAACTAATGTGCATCAATTTCGTCCAACTTCATATCGCACTAAGAGATAGAATAGTTCCCGATTAGATAATTTGACAAACATGAAACTTCATCTTCCTCAAACCCGAAGCCTCCGTCTTTCATCACTCTCGAAACCTAGTCGGTATCTTTTAGGGAAATCCGTGATAATGGGAATCAGCACTTGAATATCCAGTCATCTGCAACATGTAAACACCACAGAACAGGCTAGCAGATTTGTTTCTATTTTGAAATGGAAAATCAACAATAGAGGAATTGAAATTATCACGCTTATCTTACAGCTTGGTGGAAATCTGTCCATATTGCTTGCGTTGTACAAAAATGTCGAGGTAAACGGCTGATGTAGAAGAGTCTTTCATGTCCATGATTTTCAGTTCTGGAGTGTGTATACGAAGGACATAGTCAATAAATTTCTTGTTATTTAAAGACAAGACGCAAAGTTCAGTTAAAGGACTTGCAAGGCCTTTGTAACCTGTATAATCCTGTAAATGAGTCTTCCCATGTTGCCTCCCAAATTTATAATAATATGTAATAGTAATCTACACAACAAACTAAGCAAATCACACTGAAGTTATCAACCAATAAGTTAACACAATAATAATCATCATCGTCTTAGCAATATAACCAGCTAGAGAGAATCTTGAGATCTGTTGAGACTTAAACGAGACGATCATATTAATCGATTGCTATGGTGGTAAAGTTATGTCCATACAATGAAAATATTAAACTTTTAACTGCATGTCTTTGCTTTCAGATATTTGTCATTTTGCATCTTCATCTTCGTAAATTTGGTAATAGAATATTTCGGGGGATTGAAGAAGATGCTTTGTGAATACACAGATGAAATGATTTCCTTCAGGACCGGACCTTTATGTTGTTGTTGTTTTTGTTTGAAATCCTATCCTTTCACAAGGTAAATAAATCAAATCACAAAGTTAATTATTTTAATCTCAAAATAAATAATTGAAATAATTTTAGTTTCTCTCCTTTATTTTCGTTACCGCTTACAATGCTTTTTCCTTATATAGGTTAAGTTTTATCGTGAATTTCATAAGACCAAAACAACAAGTTACAGTAACATTTGTAGTTACAACGGATGCATTGCGTTAGAAATCAACAATTAATTTCATACTACTGATAAGATGGATATATCAATTATGTATAAATTTATCTTCCATGATTTTACGATATGATCAAATGTGACACTCCTAATTATATACATGTATTCAGATATGATTGCATTTGATATTTTTCATTATGATTTCCTCATTCGGAGAAAACAATGTACTATCTCATACAACACATTAAAATAAAACGCCTTGAAACAGGAGTATAATGACAACTCATTATGGCTTCCTTTGTTTCACAGACAATTAGGTTAAACTTATGTCATTTTTCTACTTTAACAGACGTTCGATGACGGTAGTTAAGGGATTAGTGTTGCAGGTAGCCATCCTGCGACCTTTGTTATTGTTCATACTTTCAGTTTTATGGTCAGATGGAAAGTACTCTCTTCAGCAACAAGTAGGTATCTTCTTTTAATACTTTTTGTGAATTTGACAGAAAGATTATCCCGAATCGTAATCTTACCAAACAGGAGATGTCAGCCTTGATTTCACGGACGAAAAGTAGTTGTATCAATTAATATCTTAATGATGATTTCGTTACACGTAATAAAATGTTAACTTTGTTAAAAAATATTAGCCTCCTGGATCCATTTATTTTCATTTTATTTTCAGATGTTAAGGAACTGTATTAATCTCAGAATCAATGTCTGAGTGTTTTATAGAATTTTTTTATAGAATAAAATGTTGACTTTTGTTAAAAAATATTAGCCTCCTGGATCCATTATTTTCATTTTATTTGCAGATGTTAAGGAGCTGAATAAATCTCAGAATCAATCTCTGAGTGTTTTATAGAATTTGCTTTAAGTTTTGAAACAGCAACATCTTGCCATGTAAATGGGATAATTTAATATTGCAAGGATAATATTACAAAGTCACTTAATTGGATTTTAGAAAAGGGGACAGGAACATATTATGATTTGAGGAGTTGGTACACTTGCATGAAAATACAATCACAAGTATGCTTGTTTAACAGACGGACTTTACCAACCCAGCTTCATATTTCAATCTTGTGAATACTGCATCAACACTGTTAGCGATTTACGGATTGATGATAACATTTCGAGCTACCAGAGAGAAGCTTAGGACATATCGCCTGACACTCAAGTTTATTTCCCTACAAGGAACTTTAATATTTATGAATATCCAAAGCTTCATCACAGGATTTCTTGGTAGAGCAGGTATTCCAGAATGCTCCAATACCATTGGATCGCCAGTAAGAGCCTCACGTGAGTTCCGTATCAAAATTTGGTTACAATTTACTTGTCTTTAGATGCAAAAAGGTAGGCGGGCTCTGAATTAATCATCTTAAAAAAAGATCAAAACATACCTCAAAAGTTTATATGCTCCAAGGGTTCTGGATTTGTTCGTTTTTTTTTTTTTTTTTTCGGTTTTTCTTTTTGGAATATGAAGAAATTGCGAAGAAACGTGGTTTGAAATTGCATTCAACAATTTATCTCAGTTGACATATATATATATATCAAGCTGAATGACTATGCGAGAGAAAATTACCACGCGTTTCACTAAAACCTTTGGACACCAAACATTTAATAAAGCATCGAAAATTTGAACCAGCGATAAAGCCACACCATTTACCTTATATATCTTCATATGAATTTCGCTAAATGGCGTAAAACTTAACAACGTTACTAATATAATAGAAGTTTATAATATTGCTGGTAAACTCTTGTATATTTGTTTTTCTTGAAGGAGTGAATCATTTTCTGCTGATAATGGAGATGTTCCTCTTCTCTTTGTTGGCACGTTTTGCCTACCGCACTACTGAAGAAATTTACTGTAATGATGAAGAGGACGGAGCTAATAGGGACAATACTGGGGCTACGGGCGCTGTCGCGAGTGAGAACGGAAACGGTGGTGTGGACACAAAGCTCAACGATGTAAATATAATAGAAAGTGCAGAACTGAACAAGACACATATGTGACTAAAACAAGCTAGTTTGTAGTTTGTTAGAGTTATACATCCTCAACGTGTCAGGTTCATATACACATTGAAGACAACTCCTTGATGTTGCTACGTCCAAGTTTTCTCAACTTGTACTAAAAAATGTAGTGCTATGTATTATTATCAAGGGCTAGGCTAGTGTCTTCTGCGTTCATTAAAGCATTCTGATTTCTTAAATAGAAAGCAATATTACTATAATAACTCGATATACGTGTACTTTAACAAATTACCCACTTAAATGTTTACAGTATCATGATAATGAGGACAAGAGAAAACCTGGATTAATTGTATGGTGATGGTGCACGTTTGGTGACAGTAGAATGCATACGATCGGGGATGTAGGATTTGCTGTTTGCCAGAAGAATATTTTCCCGTTAGATTCCTTTTTCATTACCATGCACAGCCACTAGATGTTTGCAGAGCAGACTGTATTTTTTAAAGTTTTTTTTCACCTGTACACATATTAAGCAGAGATGTGTTTTTAGTTTGCTTAAGTTCAGTACAAAGTGTACCGATTACACGTTGTAACGTTGCAATGGTTGGCCCTGTCTAGAATAAAACACCATTCTTTTTATTCAGAACAAAATTTATACTTCACATTATCATATTTTGTTTGACATGATTATTATACGACAAATGAATTAACACGTAGGTTTGCAACGATATTCCAAAACAATATGGCGATATCATGTTGTCTTTGACCTACTTTTATAAACAGTATGTTGTGTTAGCTGTGATAATATAGCCATGATGTAAGAAATCAGGTATTGCTTCAAAATTTCGGGAATTCAGGGTATGAATAGATTCATATGAGTAGCTAATTGGAATAATTTTGAAACCGGATGGTGAAACACTTCCCTTCTTTGTAGAAACATTTTCCCATTCGGGATTCGGGAATGTGTCATTTGTCATGACATTTCTATTAAACCGTATAGTCGGTATTTTGGCGAGGAGGATTTTTTCGCTATTGACGTGATTGGGAAGATTTAATCCGTGAAATATTAAGACGCATAGAAATATTGTTCGCAATATATTTACATCTATGTACGGACTGCTTGTTGCCAAGGTTTATTCAGGTATTTAAGCATTTGAATCATATTATGCATTCAGTATTGTGAGCATCTCTTCATGCTAAGCTTAGGATATTCGTGGAAATTCGATCCTCTCGGTTTTTATGGTAATCGGGAACATTTTTACCCGCGAAAGTAACCGCTTAGAAGGCTTTTTGATGTATAATGTAAGCAAGGCATCATTTTAGTGAACATTTCTTAATCGAAACAATAAAATCGTCTTTTATATGAACATCACTACTACATCATAATGAATTTAATTGAATTGAACGAGCTAAGATTTTAGAATTTTTTTATTTTATGTTGTGTTCTTTTTGAGAAGTTGACGTCCCCTATTTTTTAGTACTTATACTCTAATAATGAGAAAAGAGACCATTCAAGTGATTGGTTTTCTTTTTTTAAAATTTGCTATCTCAAAATGTAATTTGTGGTTTTATTGGAAAAGTCCATCACCTCAGAATCGAAATACAGGGTTTATTGAAGTTCCTTATTTCACTCATGTTTTTTTTAAATCTAAAACATACTAACATGTTCACGTTGAGATTATATTTTTTCAACTGTGTTTCTAAAACTCATTAATTTATGGTGAAGGAATATTTATTTACATAAATGCTACGTTTATATGATATTAAGATTGTTGTATTCAGTGGTAGCAATTTTCAATGTGCTATCCAATGTTCAACGCAGAATGGATATTTACACAGGGATCTTGACACTTTTTTTCTCTGTTAGTTTGAATTGTTTTTACTTGTGGCTATTTCATTCTATTGACAATAAAATTTCAGAGCAATGCATCAGATGATATACGTTTTAGTTCAATAATAATGACTTTATTTTTATGAGATTAATTAAGAACTATAAAGCGAACTCAATGAGTGTCACAGACGATACCCAATGCATTTCCAATAGGATTATGATATTCAAACACTTGCTTAGCTTGGGATTTAGATATCTAATAATTCCAATACAGTTCTAACCATATTTTGTTAATTTTCGGGTCGATTAAAACGTTCCACTATGACTGCTATCCTGACACATTTCTTAAACTTCTCCATATTTATTGGTGCTCTTGAGCGGACACTGGGTGATGATGACAAGAAAATGACAAGAAAATGATGTTAATAATTGTTAAAATCAATCTTTTGACGGGATTAGAAATTCGAAATGAAATCATTGACGGCAAGTAAAAAATATGAGTTGATTGTGCGGTCATGACTCTCTTGAACAACACACGTTTTGAACATTTTCCATTCATATTGTCGGATTCTGTTTAGATTTATCATAAATGACGCTGATATGGTGCAAACCATTAAATGTGTTTTATTTTTTTCGTGTAGGAATGATCAGCAAGTCAAATTCACAAAGTGTTATAATTTTGTCACCACGATGACAAATAATTCATAGGACAATATGCTTGGCAAGAACAAATAATTTATAGGACAATATGTTTGGCAAGAACAAATAATTTATAGGACAATATGTTTGGCAAGAACAAATAATTCATAGGACAATATGTTTGGCAAGAACAAATAATTTATAGGACAATATGTTTGGCAAGAACAAATAATTTATTGGACAATATGTTTGGCAAGAACAATTTCAACAGTATACTACTGAAATTAGAAATAACTAAGTTTTTCCACTTCCATTGTTATAACTGCTATCACAACACTTAAATATTTATAGTCAGATGACTAATCAGGTACACGAGTTTCTTCGGGTCTTACTTTCATTCGCGTCTTATTGGTTTGACCAGCCTAATCACTTGGCATACGAAAGGTCACATTGATCGTACACCATCTATGAGACCATTAGGAAGAATGGAAAATTTAACATTTGCACTTTAGAAAGCAAACCATTTGGCCGATGTATTTCTTAATTTATTTTTCACATTAACGACTGTTAATATATATGTATTCACATAAATCAAGATTCGGGAATGTTTCATATATTTATAGATGAGGATCAGTCAGGAAGACTACCGAATCAGATAATGTTAATTTCTGGCAATCCATGTCCGCAGATACAATAAAGACGATTTAACTAGTATATAGTGCGATAAATTACAACGAAGTGAGGTAGCTTGACTATTATGCTTATCAGTTAATCCTAAATTAGGTAACAGAATGAAACTAAAAGTGAAATATGACATTGATACCACCAGGTATATCGTTATTTGAATGTTTCAGCGATGATGGAAATTTCACAAATCTATCGAGGCATAGCTTTGCAGATTTGAAAACCAATAGTGGATGTGATAAGAAACACAAAAATCGATATATCGGGAAATTGTTTAGCGAGATTGATTGGCAGTAACAATGGTAACCGTTCATTACAGAATAAAATGAATACAAATCCCAATATCCGTATGTAGTATGAATTCGGCACCAAAGAGGTTTAAATAAGTATTTCATTAGTCCAATGAAATTGAGTACATTGATGTGGTGCACACACGGTATTTTACTCATAATGCTATACCATCGAGCACCATATTTCGTCTGAAATGCATTCCTCGTTATGTTACAAGAAAAATTTCATTCAATCATTTATCCCTTTAAGTATATTTTGCATGATCTGCATGTTTATTACTGAAACCTTATATTTTCTATGATCTTATATCGACATATCACAATTCGAATATCATATTGTGTTGTATGAGCTTGCAAACAATTTGTCTGTAATATCTTTTGTTTACAGCAAATAATCAAATAATTACTTTTCTCAATATTTATGACTATAACATAAAAAGTTGGAAATATATTCTATTTCAATATGTTTAAATGAAAAATATGAAATCCAATGAAATAGAAGTTCATATACTCGACGTCAATGAAAACGCAACACCTTTAAATTACTGTCAAAATTTACCAGTTATAGTTTTGAATACAATATTTAATAAAATACCTAAAAGTTGATTATGTCCATAACAAAATTCACTCAATGCAATCAGCACTACATCATAGGAATACTTTGATTTCCGGTGACTAATGTCCATACCCCCAAAATCAAAATGACCACGTTCAATATCTAATGTGGCCACCATTTGCAGCGACACAAGCGCGGCATCTTCGAGGTATTGACCGAATAAGGCGTTGAATTTTGATTTGAGGAATGTTCCTCCACTCTTCCTGAAGAGAGCGATTTCAAGCTGCCGACGCGTCTGGGGCTGTTGTGGTCGCTCTCTCACAGCCCTACCCAATTGGTCCCAAAGATGCTCGATCGGACTAAGATCCGGGGAAAACGCGGGCCACGGAAGGGTTGCGATGTTCTAATGTTGAAGGTAGTATGTAGTGATACGAGCGGTATGTGGTCGTGTATTGTCCTGTTGTAATAACGCTACGTTTGGGTGTCCAGCAAAGAATGGAACAACAGCAGGAGTTAAGACCTCGTTGATGTAGCGCTGTGCTGTTAGATTGCCGTCAATAATTACTGGAGGGGTACGGTATGCAAAAGAGATACCTCCCCACACCATCACACTGCCCCCGCCCCACCTATCCGTTTCCGTTACACAGCAGTCCAAAAACCTTTCACCTCGACGTCGCCACACCCGAATTCTACCGTCATTTCCTCTGAGGCGGAATCGATTCGTCGGTGAACAGGACGCCAGCCCACCGACGTTGGGTCCATCCTCGGCGCTGTCTTGTCCAATTTAGACGATTTTGACGGCGAATTTGAGTCAATTCGTTTCCTCTAAATGGACGTCGCGACGCCAATCCGGCTGTGCGAAGGCGACGGCGCACAGTACTAGCTGACAAACGTCTGCCATGACTTCCTATCGTCTGTCTAGCCGTTCTTGTCGCGGTTTGAAAACGATCTCGCAGGTGACTTAGTCGAATGTAACCTCTGTCGCCCCGGACGAGGTCGATCTCTCACGGATCCGGTTTGTCGCACTCGTTCTGCCAGTCGATTGATTGTGGAAGCAGAACAACCCATTCTCCTGGCAAATTCCCTCTGAGAAAGCCCTCCTGCCAGCATACCCCGAGCTTCGTGTCTTTCATTGTCTGTCAGTCGAGGCATTTGTAGCAAATAATGATGACAATTTAAAAAATTGATGACGGAAAAATGTCTGCCTGTAACTACAGTGTTCACTAGTAGTGACTGAGAAAGGATATAACGCACTTTAGAGCGCCGACGTGCAAACTCATGCTTTTACGACAATGCCCTGTGGTACAAGGAGTTGTCATTACTCGACCATTATTTCGTTAGTTTTGTAGTGCATTGTGTTGTGGCTAAATACAGCAGAATAAGAATCTAATCCTTGTTGTAAAGAATATATTATGTCCAAAATTTTAGTGTTGCGTTTTTTATTGGCGCCGAGTATATATTCATGCATATTACAATATACTGTCAGATTATACAGAGGAAACATTGCATATGTTAATAAAAATCAAAATTAGATGCATTAAAGCCAAACAATTAATTTAACAGCCTAGTACAGTCCTTCTTGGACTAATCAATAATACTAATGCTAAGGGCCTAAATTTTGAAGCCAAGGAGGCGACTGGGGTAATGCCAAAATAAGCGGAAAATGTCTAAGCATTATCTAGGTCAATACGTATAGTTTAGAGTTACCCTATCCAGATAAAGAACTATTTCAAAACCAGATGCATCTTTGATTTTAAAGCATGGTATATTGTTTGTTGTAGCGTCATTGCACCAGATCCACTTCAAGCGAGAATAAGAATAGTGTACTCTATGCCATGTCGTATGCTCTCAGCATGTTTCAAAACAAGGCCTTTTCTGCATTTCTTGTTTCGTTTCGGCACAATAGGCAATTCATTTCCAAAGACTTACCACAAATCTCTATGACACGCATGGAATGCCCTCTTTTCCGTCAAAGTAAATAAGGCAATTTCAGAGTTGTGCATTTAACCTAGTTTTAGTGTTAACTAACCACAAAAATATTAACCCTTATAGGCGCGTTGGTGTACATTTAGGTTTGCTAACGACAAAATAGATATATTCGTGAAATTTACATTTTCCCCCAAATTTTCAACAATAATACTAGGTTCTTTGTGTATATACTTGTCATGATTAAATATGATATCGATGTAATTTTTTATAGACTGTCGGTAAAAATGTTCATGGATTTTTCATTCCTATATTTCTTTTCAGGAACTCAATTCCCCGTCACTGGAGGTCGGTCATCCCCTCGTTTAACACATTGGAATCTTCAGCGTATTTCTTTTTTAATGGGTGAACACACTGTTTTAACGGATTTTCTGCGTTCATTCTTCCTCATTTCTTTTTTCTAACTTTGCGGATTCCTAGCTCAGGAATATTAAAATTAGAAACCCATGCAACAATCATGATTTCACATGTACATACTCCTATATGGATACTTCGACAGCAAGATAGTTTCTCGGCATTTCAGAATACCAACTTTCTTCATTGGTTTAATACCTCTCACAGTCACACACCGGTGAATGCCTTCCAGTTCTGTTTTTATATTGAACGCATGTTTTTTTTTCTCTCTCTCTCTTTGAAATATTTTAATGGTTGTGATAACGTCTCTTTCGCAAAGTTTTGACTTATTTGTTCTTGCAGTATCATTGATATAAATTATCCAAATACTAGTATATATCAAACTAAGTCTTAAATGATCTGATTTGAAATTACACGTCAAATAACTTCATGTAAGGTCCTATTTGTATGCAAGTTCTTTACAACATACATTAAAATGAATAGCAGTTAAAGAAATCATAACAAAGAAATGATAAAACCGGTAGAACCATGCAAATATAATATTGTTTGACTTAAATTAGTTTGATGAAGGTGTTACGTTTAAAACTGAATCGTTATAGATTTGTCAATTTTAAGCAGAACATTAGACATGCTTTTGGATGGACCTAAGCATTTGTATCTCCCTTATGCTTACCTATAGTTATATGATTGATACGTTAACGACATCTGTTGATGTTCACCTTTGTAGTTCCACGGTCAAATAACAAATTTAGACAACAAAATCACTTTACTAATTCAGATGTGCCGTTACAATAGTATTTAACCGCCAGGTTTATTACATATCCATATAAAGCTGAAGTGATAAGACGTGTTACAACAGATACCTCATTTATCATGTGACACATGTATCATATATATATAAAGTTCACGAAATAGATTTGATAAATAAGCAGCTTATTCTATCTGCGCTTCATTCTCGTCAGAACTGAAAATATCAATACAGTGATAAATTGATAAAATCCAACATTTTAGTGGCAAAATGTAATAAATGACGAGTCTGCATAATTATTTTAACCGAATTTACGGTATAATTTAATGGGATGTTAACTTTTGTTTGTAATGGATGCCTGGCCTATGTAATATATTGAATTAAGACAGAATTCTGTTTTGTAAATAATGATATTGTTTTTCCATGCTGTTTGTTGTTACATCTCCTGGCTCTGTATAACTTACAAGAATCTAAAAGGATTGTATTATCTCATTCCTTAAGTAATTAATATCATTTATAAAATCGATCTGACTTGTTATGAATGGTTGTTTTCCACATCTGTAAAATGTAATCTTAAACATATTTTATGAGAATATATCATTATGCAATACATATGAATTATGAGAATAAATACTCTATGCAAACTTGCCTTTGTTGTGTAATCGAAATAAGTTTTGAAACAAAATATAGACCTTAAACAAATTTTAAAGATACTGGAACAGCGTGCTATAAATACATATTTTGTCTTTGTATTTTAGCATATTCATTCTTGAAAAAGTGAAAAAAAAACTTACCACTTGAAAAAATAATATTTACAATAAAACTATTTTTTCATTAAGATAAAATAACAAAATTCATGGTTTGAAATCAAATAGTGTCGTTGTAGAATCCATACTGCTGCATTCTTATTTCTTTAATAAACGGTATCTCCTTTTTTTCCATATAGGCACAATCTTCTTTAGCAACTTCAAAAGCGTCACTCCAACGTGAGTTAGAGACATGATACGTTACATTTGGTATCGGTTTCTTTTCACAGAAAATCTCTATATCCTGACGTAGACTTCTGTAATATAGCAATTCCTCGTAAAACGTTCCTCCTTGTGCGTGGATTTGGACTTGAAGTCGCCGGAAAAAGAAGTGGTATAATGCATAATCAAGCTCTGCCCATTTTTTGTATAACAGGACATCCCCAGGCTTGAAAGTTATTCTTTCGAACAGTTTCTTTTTAGCGTTGAGCTTTATGTATAAGATATCCTTAATTCCCCAGTTAAGAAGTCTACGCATAAGAATTAAGGACTCGTCGAACATTTCCACAATTATAACGAGCTGAAATTCTCTGTCCAACTTTTGAAGGTATGTTTCGATACCTGTTTTGTCCCGAGTTTTAAAAATGTCTGCTGGAAAGTTGAATTCAAAAGCCATTCTGTTATTTACAAAACCCATTTTAGTTCTACTTTGGTAGGTTGTTGATTTTTGAAGGAACAATGACACAGGATCTGATATATTAAGATTAAATACCTCTCTGGGTTTGATATAATTCAAAGTAGATTTGAAGTGTTCAAAAGGTTCACGTACAATACCTATATTAATTGTGTCGGCAGGCATGATACGTTCAAAGGCATCTTTGTTGTATACAGCATGACAGCATAGTATCTCGTAAACCCTACCCCTAGGGACAGGAAGAATATTTTTATCCGTAACCGTTTCCCAAGAACTTATGACATTTGGATACAGGAATTTCGGTACAAACGGCAACACAACTAGTAGATCTCGCTTCAAGGCAAACCGCAGAAAGATATTTTGAGCCGTTGAACTTGCAGCTTTGTGAACCTTTAGAAAAGCTATATGTCGACGTTCTTTTTTAGTCTGTAGTAGTTTTTGATTGCTCGAAAAAACTGAAGTTTTGGAATCATTTGGTCCATCTGCGTCATGCCTTTTGAACAGAGTGTTAATTAAGTGTGAATTATCTTCGGGGTTCTCTTTCAGCATTGTTATAACATTTCCTTGTCGTATAAAAGCATGGTTTGGTGTTATATTGTTCGTGTAGAATGACAAGGAAAAAATTAAGATCGGCACTACAACCAGGCAATTGAAAGCGAAGAACCTGTCAAAACAAAATAAATGCATCAACAAAATTATTCAAATTTTACATGAAAAGGATGATCATCATATCGCTACATTACATATATAATGAGACTATTTGTCAGATAAGGCAATAAACAGGCGGATCTTTACCACTGACCACCTGATTGGGGACACATTTTTTTTCTTTTCTTGTTTTTGGGGAGAGTTGACTCAGTAGTGCTTGGTTTGTTAAGGTACATGTATAACGGATATATTGTGAAGAAATTTAAACATGAATACAACAAACATTTGAGATCCTTTCCCTTGAGGCACCTTTTCACCGAGTTTCTGTCAACGGGAATAAAAACGAAAGTTTATGTATTGGTTTACCATTATGCCTTTGATTTTACACCATAAGATGAAAGAGAACGCTATTTCACTACGTAGTGTGTTATTAACAATAGTACTGAGCAACTGTCTAAAGACTGACCTTGAATGACCTCACTTTTTCGCAAAAAAACAAAATACAATATATTCAATAATATAATGCCAGAAAAAAACACGATAGAAGAATCAGGCAAGACACTTCATCAATTATAAATTAAAAGTATAAATCATATGGAAAGATAAATGTAAATGTATCCACGTTTCTTTCAAGCTGACAAATTTAGTTACCGTCATAATGTGTTAAAACAGTATATTTCGGAAACAAAGGGATTATTTTCAAAATTTCAGGTCAATTTTAACCTAAATTTGAGTTGCAATTTAAAAAGAAAGATTAAGAAATCATTTAAAATTTATCGTGCACAGATTCATCAAAATGATTGAATCCTTACTTGTGAAATGAAATGTTGACACGATAAATCGTATGTGCTTTAACCTGTCCGAGGACACACCTTGAAAATATCTAACAGTTGTAGCCTAAGCGGCAGCGTCTTTGCACGATTGAGAACACCGAATTCAGAAGAAATATTATGCCATACTACAAATTGAACGCAATCAACACCTACAACTAACTCTGTTTAAAACATTGTTTAGAGAGAGGGACTAGTTCTATCATAGTGACATATTGCGAAATACATGGATTGAAGACAGGATGTAGTTTTTATTTGGTAAATTACGTAGATTAGTCCTAAATCAATGCAATTTTAAACAGAATTCCTTTCCTCCTCTTTCGGTGGGTTTTCCTACATGTCACAATGTTTATGTCTTCCTACACAAAACCAGGGTTAATACACATGATGTCCAGAAACCCTCGCCTTTCTCTTTTTCTAAAAAAATAAACCTTTACATTGTTACTGGTACTATTCTCAGTTGACAAACAAACAGATCTTTAGTGCTGATAGCTAAAAATGAAAATCTACTAACCGTTGCCCCTCAGGGTACTGACCTTTCGGGATTTTTTAAATCCAGGAAGTAGCCATCAACACATATCTACCTAAGCTGGCTGAGGTTATGGAACTTACGTTTTTGTAATTCTGGTAAGAAGCCAAAACACTTATTTCACTAAGCTTATGCTAATATCTACTTATTTTTTACAAAACGACCAATTATGCTTCTTTTTACTTGTTCATTCTTTGTTTTTCTGTCTGGAATGTCTAGTGACAGTCTTCGATACAAATCACCCATACATTTGTATAACCGTCATACTCTAGGGTCAACTGTTGATGTCCAATGCCTGATCGTAACGTAAACCGAAAGTGGCCGAGGTTGGAAACATCGGTAAACATCGGGATCTTGACGACCCAGTTCCTTAAGATCATTAATATGTTGGAATTTTTTTTGGCCTAAAATGACAATGTCAAACTGCTTGATTTTTTCGATATGTTCAACGATGGATGTTTTAAAAATAGTAAAAAAGTAACTCCTAAAGACATCGAGTAGATATAACATTTGTGTTAATTGAAAAGGAAACCAAAGAAAACCAAAGCAAATGGTATTGAGGTTATCTGCTACCAATATAGTGGTGTCTGTTGATGATATATCAAACGAATGTTGTTGGGATGTTAAAAAGCGAGTTTTACTTTATTTCGTTCGAACAAATATCATGGTTGGTTTAACTCTAACGAACGCCTAATTGCATTGAAGAAAATATCAGAAATACTTTTGTCATTTCCTATACTTTGTAATGTTTATCGTGAAAAAAATATTTGCTCCCAAGAAATATAGTTTGCAGACTAATTTAATACATGTAAACTAGGTCTACAACGTTTTAAATACGAGGCAGATGTAAAACAAATATTGATATTTTCAGAACATTGTTCAAAGACAACTGAACATTAGACATTCACATAATTACATGAAATGTACACATTTATTTCCAACGGCTATTTTCCATTAATATTTCATTATTAATTTCAAAATTAATTTGATAACAACCGTTTTACCTACCTTAATTTTCCCATTTTGCTGTTTCATGAGAGATACTTATGGAAATTATTTTCGTTCAATTGTCTTCAGTCAGCGTATCCAGTCATTATGTATCAGCTATACAGCCAATTTTAGTTTTTCATCAGCAAGATATAAACAAATCTAACCACATGTGCTACTTTCACTACGAATGAATAGACTGTCCACAATTTTTGTCTCACTGTTCAATATACATGGTAACAGATGGTCCCGGTCAGACAGTTAATGATGACACTTTCTTTGTTATGAGAAATACACATAAATCAGTTCTGACCAACATTCACCACTAACAAGAAAATCAATTTTAATTAAAGTTGCTTTAATATCAGTACGAAAGCAACGAAGAAAATGGGCTTCGAATCTACGAGAGAATGGTATACATTACTTATGAGTGTAATATTGTATAGAGTGTTCGTGGCAATATCTTCCCAAAGACGTTTGCCTTTCCTATGGAAACTAAATGTGCCCTTTGTTGGCGGATACCAAAACAAAGTTGTCAGAGTTTATCAAACCAGGTCACAAAGATCTTAAATTTCACTTTAACATATATATTGGTGATAAGGTTCTGCCAAGACTAAGCAGTGTGACCAAAAGCAAAACAAGACTTAATATATTTCTAATTCTTATCAAAATAATTTATCAATGAAAAATACGTAATTTCAATGATGGATCCAGCAACGGGTTTTCAGTATTCTAATAAAGTTAAAAGTATGATTAGTTATTGGAGATTGTGGTTTTATATATCGTCCATAGGCATATTGTCTTTGTCTAATTCAGTTGAATGAAAAAATTCTTTCTTATAAGATTTTGCAATTCTGATAAAACTCCAACCATGCTTTCAGTTTTCCTGGAAGCTTCAGCTGAATTTACTTCTGAAATAGATTACCATCACTTTGTGAAAGTTATTTGGAACTTATTCTGATTATTTGATTTAAAACCATTTAAATTATGTAACTTTGTTCCGTTTAGTTATCTGGTACCGATACCGAATCTGCTGGTAACCAGTACCGGTGTTAACAGTAACCAATACCGGTTTCCAAAGTTATCAATATTATTAAATGTAATTTACGTTGTACACTGAATCTCTAAATTCAGTAAATTCAATACATTTCGTCATTTGGTTTAACATCCATTATTACCACAAATGCTTTCAAGTTATGAATACCGGTTAATCTATGTAACCATTATTGTTCCAACCACTTTTATTGGTCATTTTGGAATGTGTATAACAACCATGAGGTGACTTATTACCATATTTGAAAATAAGATTTGTTTTTCAATTTCCCTACCATTTCTGCGGTTTCATCAACCATGATGGTTGTTGTAGTACTAAGTTTGTTTGACTCCAATGATGGGTTTAAATGATATGGGAAGGCTGAAAAAGGGGAGACAACCTTTATTTATACGTGTAACGCACACGCCGCCTTTATCTGTTTTTACTTACAGAAGAGATTCAATTCTCTCCGTTCTGGTCCGTCGTCCCTGGTCAATGGAAACATGTGAAAATAACCGTCGGCAACACTTATAACAACTTAAATTACTTACAAATGATCCGATAAGTTTCCTGTGTACGTGTATTTGCCATATTATTTTGGAAAATGATTTTTTTTTTCCTTCTTGTATTTATGCTTGAAGCGGTAAGGTGAAAAGACCAGGTGTTTCAGGGTACTGGCACCCCGCCTATCTGATGAGAACGTTCAAGTTGTATATGAAGTTATTTACGAACTCTAGACTGTTTATACTTAAGAACTGTAATACGGATTGATTATATGGTCCAGTCTGAATTATTGTCTAATGTTTGGTTCATAAGCTGATCGTGATTCTTGCTTTGTCATGTAATGTTCAGAACGTTAATTACAGTGCAATACCGGCATATTCCTACAATATTTCTACATTTTTAGTGTATTCTAAATATACTGACGAATAGTTTGAGCTGTCAGGGAATCTGATATGCGTTACAAACACGTATCCAGAGATGTAAATTCGTGTACATGTGCTCTTGAATGTCGCCGAATCACGATCCCTTGATATGGGATTTCCACTAATTTCGTTTTATTTTAATTGTTTTATTTGCTCCAATGTATAGAACGATATGAAGTGTTTCGGTAAAGTAGCTTATTTCACTTTCAATCAAGGATATCACGTAAAAACTGGATCAGGTGAGAAATGACTGCCTTCTGTGCTTCTGTTTGGATATGAGATAGAGTCTGTCGAATGCCTAAAAATAGGTATCGGGATATATTTTGATCGGTGACATATTGGTGGTTGAGCATTTTTTTTAAAGATCTAACAGATTGTAACAAAAACCACAATCGTGTCAAAAAATCTTTAATCGCTCCGCAATAGTTGTGCAAAAATTGAGAAAAACTGTAACATTGAAAGAAAACAAATAAACAGTTAATTATATCAAGCTCATATAATAAAAGGTAGATATAAACTATTAAAGAGGACCAAGTACAACATCAATGTTGACTGTCAGGAGGCGTGATGAAGCATTGATGTACAAAACATGATAGAAAAGTATCTCGTAGAATCTGCCTTTGATGCAGCACAAATATTTTAACTGTTTCTATTCGATCCGGAAGATAAAGGATTTTCATAAAGAAATTTCCGATTTGTTGTAACCTATTTCTTTTTTCATGGTGAAAAACTATGTTGAACTGCTGAACTTAAAGCGTTGTGCGTTTTAAGAAAGACTTATGTTGACGTTCGTCAAGTCGTCTGATTCGAGACAATCGTCTTTTTTGAGGATATTATTTTACCTTTATTTCCTGTCATTCAGGCATGTTATTTTCACTTGATTTGCTTATTGGTGTCTTTTCGATAAATGATTCTTCATGAATCTGAACCGATCGTAGATGGCTATAACAACCACCTCAGTGAATAGTGACAGAATCATAAGTAAAAGAGGCACAAACTTTAAAAAATATTGTAAAAATAAGTTAGCAAATCATGATATCATGTATCTTGCGTTCCTACCATTTTTCATCTTTGAAATATCGTTGCATTTAGAGATACTGGAAGTCTTTTCGCTTGCATATATATGGGGTGATGAGGTGCATTTTTCTACATATCCTGTATCCCTCCATACATATGTATCTTGCGCCCCTCATCGGTGCCGATGATTTGTACCCCATCTTTTTGTTGTACATATAGACTGAAGTTAATGTCATTCAGATCTATATATTATATAACAACAGTGATTGATATTATGGTTGTATTTGAAATGTTCCTGTCTTTTAATAAATGACCATTTGACAACATTTCTTTTCACTGTTGTTGTTTTTTGTTTATAAGACATGTACAACAAATAACAAGATGCAGTCTCTGAGCTGGGTTACCGTGCTAACACAAATAAAATTTATTTCATGAAATAAATACATTTGTGTTAGATGGCTACTTTATATATTCATGTATATATAAATATGTATAATTGTCATAATCCTACAGATGTTCTTCACATTATAATGTTATGTAAGTTGGCTCTTGCATGATTTTGTTATTTGGAATAAGATCTTGAACTCTGACCACCTGGTGACCATCTGTTACCCTATGTAGTTTGTATCTCTTGTTATTTGGATGTTATGTGTGCGCACGTGTTAGCTAAGAGGGCCGTGTAGGGCAACTCGCTATGCGGTCACGGTTTTAGCTTGAGCAGTCAGAGGGGCTGTTCACGCGACCAGCGGCAGTAGCCGTGATGCTAGGCGGTCAGGGCCTGGATTGACCAATCAGCGAGGCGCGCACCTCTTCGTGATTTTGACCGCGTCATATCTTCATCACTCCTCATAATTTTTCTGCTGCTGTGATTACGTTTAATATCTTTCGAAGTCCCACCCATACCACACTCCCACATTTTGTCTTGAGCCAGCTTATATATCCATGTTTTTTTTTTTTTTTTAAATTCAAACTTATGTTTGTATGCCGATAATTTGTACCCCATCTTTTTGTTGTACATATAGACTGAAGTTAATGTCATTCAGATCTATATATTATATAACAACAGTGATTGATATTATGGTTGTATTTGAAATGTTCCTGTCATTTAATAAATGACCATTTGACAACATTTCTTTTCACTGTTGTTGTTTTTTGTTTACAAGACATGTACAACAAATAACAAGCTGCAGTCTCTGAGCTGGGTTACCGTGCTAATACAAATAGATATTTCTTCTATCTTTGTTTTACAATGAAATAATCTACGAGTCATTTATACAATATTCAAGCATTTTTCTGACATATTTGATTTTTTCTAAACAAATGTATTTTCAGTGACTGCATGATGAACGAAAATAATCAACAGTGTTTTTTTAACTAACCTTAGACAGTTCTGTCTGTTCTTGCCCATCGCCACTTTCGACACACAATTGCGAATTATAGCTGATACAATTATACTTTTAATCCTGTATGTCCAATAACGTTTATCTCTATTTTACTCAGTATTTTCCATATCTGTAGCCGTTTAGGGCTATAACTCGAATCTTGGTCTAACACAACGAATTAGGACGTCGACAAGAGAAGAGTGACATTGCGATATGTTCACATATATGAAGTAATTAACTAAAAATGGACTGAAATGTTTGCAGGGTCTCGTTAATATATCATATCGCATGGTTTGAAGATGTTACATTAGCTATTGGTTTCGTTGCTGTATATTTTCTTTTCCTTTGAGAAATTACGTTATCTCATTAAAATCTGCTTAGTATTTCATTTTTATGTTGCCTCAATCCTTACCTTCAAAACGAAGAACGAGAACGACTTAAGTTATTCGTAGTTTGTCACCATTTAATGTCTTGTTTCAAACTTTTCCCACCGAGCCTGAATGCCTAACCTCTGTTTGTGAAGATATTTGCCCAATGGCATGGTTAAATTAACATTTATTTCATTTTCTATTCAGCCTATAAAGTGTTTGTATGATTATTGCATTGTTTCTTGTAAGAATCAAAGAAACTGTTTTGCAAGCAATTTATGTTTTTTTATTCGCAACAACTCTCAAGGTGAAAAGGTTAACGGGGTGGAAGCATATTTGAAAACTCGTGAGGCTGGGCGGAAATTCAACAACTGATCATGTTTCAATATCAATTGTGTGAAAGAGAACGGATTATTTAACATGCTTGCTGGAAGATGATAGGTAAATTAGTAAATGGTACAAAGGTTCGTTATAAAGATAGAAGGGATAGGATAAGAGTAAAGCGAATGCGGTATTCAGAAACATCCCTGAAATATTCACAACAGATGACTTACTGGCATTCCGTATACAATTAGAACAAAACACAAGAGTCGGAATATTGCGTATATTATCTATGTTTTGCAGTGGACACCTACAATGGAGCAGGTATAGTTAATGCATACTAGAAAGACAGATGCAATTTGAAATACTTATTTAGAAGAAAGAAATAAAAACTGCAGAAACAATCTTAATGGAAAATCCATCCTTATTGTACACATTATACGTGCTCTTGTTTCGACAAGGCAGTTACTTTGGTAAGAAGTAGAGTAATGATATTATAACACAAAGTATTATTCTTTTCAAAAAATAAAATAAATTATAAACAATATCTGAACAGAATTCACAACCACTGGTTATCTATAAATGCTTCAAGCTGCCAAAGGCTAGAATAATTTTAAAAAGGTCTATATATATTTTTTTCAATACAGCTTTGTATAATCGAAAATAATACGACCGATCAACGAGCACTGTTAATTCGTCTAAAAACGAAACATTTCGTAAGTCATAAAACAACTTCCTCTTGAACACTATTCTAGAAATTTACCTAAGAGCGAAATGAGGGATGGTCGGTTCACAGGAGTCGAAACTTAACGCACGAACGGAAATTAGGAAGCACAATAACTACTTCGGGATTCATTTTTGCATGGTTGTTCTATTGGGTTTTCCTCTCACTGTCGTTGGTTATTTTCCAAAGGTTACAAAAACACCAGCTTTTGTAACTTTTGTAAAAGGACTTATTAGATTGAAAGGAATACCATGCACCACAACCACTCGTTATGTAATCTCTATGTATTGATTCAAGTCATAATACGTTTTCAACAATCCTCACTGTTACCAATGATAAAGAATTCAAACTGCATAAAAACCCGAAACTTTTCTAGTACTTTATCCTCTTATGACAATAATGTATTAAATTGGAAATTATCTCTTGAAGACAAAAACATCAAATAATTATGATATCCACGAAGTTTAAATAATTAAAGGATATCCACGAAGTTTAAATAATTAAAGGATATACAAGAAGTTAAGTTTATTAAAGGATTTCTCTTGGCATATTTAATTCAATTTAGTGGTAACGTTTATTATCTTTGTACATATTGTCTATGACGTATTTCCTGAATAAAAACTTCCTCTCCGATAATCATATATAGGCAGTCCAGATCTGTGATTTCGAATTGATCGTTCCATGGCGAAGCGTGAACAATCATACTTTCATTCACGTTTCTCAAACAAAACGATTCTACGTCTCTCTGAATTCTTTTGAAGTAAAGGAGTTCCTTCTGAAAGTCTTGCCCTTCTGACTTTATTTTTTCGGACAAACGTTTGTTAAAGAAATCATATAAAGCATAGTCCAATGCTGCCCATTGTTTGTGGAGTTCTTTGATTGCTGTTTTCATTTTTGGAACTTTGGTGAACCAGTACTTCCCATCGTTAATACGTCGATGTATTATATCCTTCAACTGCCAACCGAGTAATCTTCTCATCAGAATTAAAGATTCATCCAGGAAATCCGCCACAAGTACCATGTGGAACTCCTTTTCAAGCTTCCGTAAATACGTTTGTATACTGCTTTTATTTTTATTAACAAATAAAAAATGCGGAAAATTGAACTCATAAGCCATTCTGTTATTAAGAAAATTCCCAACTGCAGATCTTTGAACATATCTGGTTGGGTTATATAGAAATGTTTTTAGTTTATGAGGTCCTGAAATATTGAAGAATTCCTTTGGATGGAAATACCTGATAGTGGATAGGAATTGTCCAAATGGATGCCGGACTAAACCTACATAAACTGTATCCTTGGGCATGATAGTCTGCATTGCAGATTTGTTATAAATCACATGACAGCAAAGTATATCATACCTTCTTCCGATTGGTGGATGAAGGACATTTTGTTCAGATACTGAATTAGTAAGACTTATCACATTACTATTACTTTTTGGCAGCATAAACACAAGATTCCGTACAGCCCCAAAACGCATGAAGATATTTTGTACTGTAGAACTGGCTGCCTTGTGAACTTTGAGGAATACAATATGTCGTGCTTCCGGGTTTCTTCCTTGTCGTTCATTTGAACCAATTTCCTCTAAAATATCAATATTCCTTTTTCTCATGCAATATTGATCAAATCTATTGTGGTCTACTGCAATATAATTCGGCAATCCTGCATACTTTTCATTCCCTGATGCATCAAAAATCAACCACCACAATATGTAAACCAAGACTATCAGCGTCAGAAATCTTATCCTACAAATAAAAGAATAGAAGTAGGTACTCAGTGATACATTCATGAAGAAAAAACGAAGCCAAACTCTAATACACAAGCATAATTTTACAAAGAACATCAATTACTTGGTGTTTTCATGTCGAAGTTGATTCTGTACTCAAACGCTTGTTCCCCCATATCATTATTTCCGTGCAAGATATCGACAGCGGACAGATAGACTCGTAACATATTTCGAGAGATACCAGTTGATGAAGATTTAGGGAAAGATACGGTGTTCTTAACGGTCTCGTTTGTAAATATCATATATTCGGGTACGATATTGATATGACTTACCGCGAGCCGAAGCGTGGCATTTCAACAAATTCAAGAATTTCTTCAACAGTAATGTTGTCTATTAGCGTATCTGCTGTATATTGATGTACCGCGTTTATATTCTCTCTAATATGAAGTAAACTTTCCCACGCATGGTGTCCTTTCTCTGTTCATTGTCATGGAAATTAAAAATGAGTTTATAAGATTTTTCGTACAAACAACTCCTTCATGGTTGGTAAGCACACACAGTGAAGGGATTGTAGATGTGATGTGCTTGCATGAACAGTATAGTTACAACCGACATACTTTTCCTGGTGATATTTAATACTCTGAAAACAAAATAATCTTGTCAAAGGGAAAATCCATATCGGAAAGCAGACAAACACACATTTCCGTTTGTATTGTTGCATTGCAATCAGGCGTGCGATGAAAGCGAGATATGGGGAAATGATTGTCGGCAAACATTAGTCCACGTCAGCAGAACGAAAGTCAATAAAAGTATCATTTGAGCAAATGTAGCACTAAACACCTCATTATTTTGTACATGGCATGTTAATTGCACAATGACTTCTAAATACGAAAAAAATCGACTAGACACTAATAAACATTTTAATCTGTATAATAAGTGAAGTATATATAATCATATTTCTAACTTGCACGCAAAAACTACTGATTACATGGTGAATAAAGTGCTTCAGTAGAGCAAAACCCGGCACAGGTCAAATACCCAATTGAGGCAAAAACACTGTTTATATCTTAGTATATATTGTGTATTTCTTCAGACGTTAAAATACAAGAGTGGATGGAATGGGAACTTCTGTTTTATGTTTCAGCTTTGCTAGTGCTGCTACTTAAAAATGATAGGATTATGACGATTCTAAAATGTTTTTAACACTGTTTGATAAGAAACTTACAATCTTGACATGCAATGTGAAACGCAATCCTAAACTGAAATTAAGGACCATGCTTGATCGAGGCTCAATTTCCAATATAACGTGGCGACATGCTGATTATACTTAAATATTCATACCATTTTCTTCTTTTAAGACTTCGATAGTCAAGATCCCAGTCAAGATCATCTGGCCTATGCATACAGTATATAATTCTAAGTCTATAGCATATGACGAGTTTGAAGAAATATAACAATATGAAAACAAGGTCAAGGCCACTGAGCATGCGTAAAGCTACTGAGATTTCTATGACTTCATTAGAATAAGATTGATATACATGTATAACGCTTCTGGCTCTCTTTTGGTGATTAAATTGATGCTAAATGGTAAAGCCAGTAGGGATTCAATGAGTTTGTTAGACAACACATAAGGAACATCTGACTTTTGAAAGCTATTAATCATTTTGAGGATTCGTTTATATATATTGAATATTGTTTTAAAAAGCTCCCAAGTCTTTAAGATTTCTGTGTAAAACTACTTATTTATTCAATTTTCACCAATGTACAGTTGGTTTATTAACCTGGAAAGCTATTGTTACGGGGAAAGTATACTTTAAACTAGTAACCAAATTTATTGAAAACTACACCTGCAGCAAAAGAACATATATATATATATATAGCATATCTTGGCATCTATCTCAAAATAGACATATTTGTAAAAAAAAAAAAAAAACCGCTTTACTTTCAGCATGGCGACAACTTATTACCATTATCCACTCAAGTGTTGCTTGAAATCTGAATCTCATGTTTAAATTTGAAAACAAAAAAATCTAGAACTATTTTACAAAAGGAAACTTTCAAAACAAGTCAATTGCCGAAAATATCAATTGTTTTTACGGGATATCAAAATATAAATTACACATATATTTGTATGTCTCGTATGTTTTGACATTGATTTAAAGTTTACATGAATTCAAAAATAACCTTTTTCATTTATACATGATACTCTTCAATGTAATTAATATTGAAAGTTCTCTCATTTATTAGATCCTTTATCTAGAAGTATCCTCCACGAACAAAACGACTATTTAAACTGCCTCAGAAAGCTAGGACCGTGGCTAAACGTTTTGAAATATCAATAATGGCAATGACTTAAACAATTACATTCAATAAAGAATAACAAATTTTAATTTTGATATGAATGATTCAAATTAGTCTAGTTAATTTATCAAAATTGTTCTACGGACTAACAAATATTTATTTACTCTGCTGATTGGATATAGGACTCTCGTGAGAATCTTTCGATATTTTAAAAAGTCACCTTTAGGTAAAATACATAGGTATGCTAATGAGCTCGATATTTGAGATATATCTGTCTTTTTCACTTACAGTAAAACCTGCTTTAAAAAAAACCCCAAGAAAATGCCGACATATTTTAGTTCAAACATAAATTCGATTGAGAAAAAAAGGAAACTACCAAAATGTGAGCATAATCATGATACAAACTCAAATCCAATAAAACTAGAGCAAATATTAACAAAAGAAAGACTTTCACGGAGACTCAGGAAAACGTTCAAGGAGAATAAGACCAGGTGTCCCCGCAGAGTAAGCGTCTTCTGCTTCTTCGACGACACCTGCCATGTACATATTACTCAATCTAAGTACGTTATGTCACGTACTGAAATGAAAACAATGTATGCAACAACGGACTCAACGAGCATCAAGCACGTCCAACTCTATACAAAGTTACTTTGACGACCGTAAAACATTCCCATAATTTTCGCCAAATTGCATCTTTTGAAACCTTGTATCAACAGTTGGACGATTTCTTGCACAGAAATCGTGCTAATGGGACAAGGTCCTGGCCCTGGCTATCGAATCAACAACGACATGTTAACAACGTAGGTTGGAAATGTGGTAGTGGCTATCCATGAATGGAAAATTCATAATAGGAAAAACAACCTACCGGACGATGTGCGAAGTTCCCGGTGCCTTGTACATTACCACCAATGTATTTTTGACAAATGTGGGGTTGAAAAGGTAGACGAGTCATCGATAAAACGTTGTTTAAATGGATTACTGGTAAATCTAGGAGTCCGATATAAACGGGGGAAGTCCGTATCACTATTATAAAGAGGTAATCTAAATTATTGTAATACTGAGGTACTAGTAGCCAGTAATTCTTCATTTGAAACAAACCTAATTTTTGCACGAAAATCGTGATACCGGGAACAGGTCGAAGAATATCAACTGCGACATGGCTACACCGTATGAAAAATGTAAATCTTTCTTTTGTTCTTATGAATGAAAAACGTGGACATATGTATTCGGGTTATTGGAGTTCTCCTTTCTTTCCATGACACAACTGCATAATAGTTACAAGGTACAAGGTTAAAGTTTGGAAACATGGATGTAAATGTTACTCTACATAATTGGAACTATTATGTGCTACTTGTTTGAGCAGCTATATGATCTAGAAGTATATAATAACAAACAGCTGTAAAGCAATACTGCTCTCGCCATAACCGTTCCAATACACATAACGTACAATAAAGTACATTGTATAATTGTTGTTGCAATATAAATACATAACAAATATATGTGTTTTGGGGGAAGCTTTGCACACATTTAACTCTATATTTCATATTACAATGAGGCAAAATGAATTTGAGATATCGTTATCCTACTCTCGTCGGCACGTTTAAGAAAACTGCCACGTCGACCACAACATGCCGTTATCGATATAGGTAGTTGTTACAGTGTAATTCGTTAATGAGTTCTCTTTCAAGGAGCAGTATTAAGTCTTTTGTGTTGATCGCCTTAGTATATTTATCTAGAAGTGGTTTGGACTCAAAACAAATACTGAGGATGGAAATATAACATAGAGAGTGATATATTTATTGTTAATAAGCCATATGTGACAGCTTTTTGAAAGTTATACCTTTTATTTAGCATGATACGACGACACAATGAAGCTTTGTTTTATCTATTTTGCTAGAAAGACATTTGCTTAACCCCAACACGTGGCTCGCCGAAATGTTCTCATTTCACTGAGCACATACATGCCGAATAGATTTCCCAAATATGATTAATATGCTGCAAATACACAATTTTCCGCAAATGCTAATCAATACTGTTTATTCAGCCATCTGACCAGGAAGGTGATATCCTATAGCCATCGTGTTAAGTTCGTCGCTGTGCAATTATGATTTCCCTGAAAAAAAATTCATGTTTAAATTCCTTCTACTGGGATTGAGCTAAAATTTACGGGGGTGTTATACTGATACAGTCCTGACCATTTGTTGTTACTTTTTTGGTTGGTGCGAAATTCAACACCATGGCCGCAATCTTGAAAAAAAAACATATTTCACAACTTCCTTTCCAGTTCATTGATGATATTAGGATGAAATGTTCAGAAAATAAAATAAGGATAGTTTCTAGCCAAACTGCTTTACTATTCCGAGATGTTTTAGACATTTGATGTATGTTACTACTACTACTACTAATACTAATACTAATACTACTACTTCTACTACTGCTGCTACTACTTCTACTAATATTACTACTACTACTACTACTACTACTACTACTACTACTACTACCACTACTACTAATATTACTACTACTTCCACTGCTACTACTACTACTACTACTACTACTACTTCCACTACTACTGCTACTACTACTTTGGATTTCCACAATCGCCGCCTAGGCTTCAAAATTAAGGCCCTAATCGTCACTGACGAGCCCTAGAAGGACGAAGCTTTTATGATGTAATTTTATTCATTATTTGTCTCTAGTGTATCTAACTATTACTTTGTAACAGGTCCAATTCACTTGTGTGTCTTTCATACAACCTTCGTGCTAACTTTACATTTCATCCGTCGTGCAGACAAGGGCCAACACGCAGGGAAAGTTGACTAAAGATACAGAAACAAAATTATTACCAAATAAGGCATTACGATTAATAGTCATCAATTCAAAAAACGCATTTAAATACAAATGAGATTTTTTTAACATATGAATTGGCAACTCTTAAATATAAATTGCAATAGAAGGTATCTAATGTATGCTGATCCGTTATAATTTAGACAATTTGAGATTATGATAGATGAGTGTACATTATTGATATACAAAGTTAAAACACTAACG